AGGTCGGCAGTTCAAATCCCACCGGCTCAAGGTTGGCTCAGCCTTCCATCCTTCCGAGGTGGGTAAAATGAGGACCCGGATTGTTGGGGGCAATATGCTGACTCTATAAACCGCTTAGAAAGGGCTGTAAAGCACTATGAAGCGGTATACAAACCTAAGTACTATTGCTATTGCTAAACTGCAAACCTTCCTGTGCACTGATAATGCTTACTAATTAAACAATTATTTAATCACTAAATTACTGATCACTATGCACTGTCTCCTGTTACAGTTATTAAACATGTATACAATCTTGTAGTGAAAAAGAAGTTTTAATATTTATATTATACCCGGAAAAAACCTTCAAACTCAAGTTTCTTTGCATAAATATCTAAAATTGAGGACCACTTACCGTTCAGGTGATTCTTCACAAATGCTGTGGCAATCTGTAGTTTCCAACATTAAACTACGAGTAAGGTTCTGTACTCCTGGATAATGGAAGTTAGCAAAGGAGTGAGACATAGAAGATGTTTTTGTCCCAAGATCTGTGATACGTTTATCATGACCTGTTAACCCACAGGAGAGTCCATCCAATGCAGGATTTAAGGAACGGGTCATGTAAGCATCAGCGGATTGGGGCCGCCTCATGGGTGAGGACGGATAAGGAGAAAGTTTGCTGATGAGGGGTGTCAAAAGATCAGCGTAGGCAGCTTTTGTAGGCTTTAAAAGTTTGTCGACGTGAATGTTAAGCATTTTTTGTTCAAACGCACAAGAGAAAACCGTAGAGGGAAGATTCTGAAGCCACGATAGCAAACTAAGGTCCAAATCATCACATCCATTCCCGCATAAAAGGTCAATTCCGAGTAACACTTCACTCTCTGTAATTTCCTCTCCCGTTGCTTTACTCTGACAGAACTCAACACAACATTCATATAACAACCCCTTCATCAGAAGCTGAAATAAGCGATTATTGCTTGCTTTAAATCCAGCCTCACTTAGTTTTCTATCAGCAGGAATAAACTCTGCCACCATGATACAAGCCTCTTCAAAACAGTGAACTCGTGCGGTGCTGGGGTTCCAGTCCTTGAATTCTGCATGGTTAGTCAGGCGAGGCAATGTGAGTAGTAAACACAGTTTGCTATAATCCTCTTTACAAGGACAATATTCTTCTAGAGCATGTAGGCACTGCACAGCTTCCTGCATTGTAAATTCCAACTGCGGGGGGAGGGAAAACATTTTTGTTTATTTAAGGGGAAAAGGTCAGTTTATCACAATGCAATTAAACATAGCTGCAATTCATTTTCTCTGCTGAAGGTATTTCTTGACCACAACAATACAATGAAGTGCATATTATTTTTGTATGAAATCTAGTGGTATTTCTTTCTCATATACATTTTTAGACCAAGTTTAAAGCAACTTTTTTTAGACGTACTTTATATGTCTGGTATTAAAACTGGACTAGTTTTTTAGTAGGTTGACTCAACATTCCATCCTTCCGAGGTGGGTAAAATGAGGAGCCAGATTGTTTGGGGGGGGGGGGGATATGTTGACTCTGTAAACCGCTGAGAGAGGGCTGTAAAGCACTATGAAGCAGTGTATAATAGCAATAGGAGTTAGACTTATATACCGCTTCATAGGGCTTTCAGCCCTCTCTAAGCGGTTTACAGAGTCAGCATATGGCCAACAACAATCCGGGTCCTCATTTTACCCACCTCGGAAGGATGGAAGGCTGAGCCAACCTTGAGCCGGTGAGATTTGAACCGCCGAACTGCTGAACTGCAGTCAGCTGAAGTAGCCTGCAGTGCTGCATTTAACCACTGCGCCACCTCGGCTCTAAGTGCTATTGCTATTATGCAAAAAAGCATTACTTTTTTCAGTCAGTCCACATGTCTCATAGATGGTTGTCCACAAATCCAATTAATAACAAGAAACAAAGTTATCAATAGCAATAGGCACCTTGGGTGCAGTTCAAGCACCACTTGAACACCATCTAGTCCCAATCTAGTCAATTGCAAAAGGCAGCTTTACTTGCAACAGCCTTGTGTGAAGTTGGCCTGCCCCCTGTGGTACCCCATGAATGAACCAAATGAATTAAGTGTCTTACGGCAGCCAAATAACTATTCTGTAATTATATATAGTCTCTTGGCTAATGTAACATCGCCATATGCTAAACAAACAAAATTGGAATGGAATAGCTTACATCCTGTGATACCTCTAACACCATCAAACCTCCACAACTGCCTATCCCACGTCCTTGGAAAGGACTCGATAGATGGACAAAAATGCCAAATCCTGTCTGAATTCAGACTGTGTGATTAACTATAATGATAATAATACTCAGTCAAATTTAAGGAACAACCACCAAATTCACTGATAAATAAGAAATGGAAACATTTCCAATCTTCTGTGTCATATTAAAATCACACCAGAAAAAACTCAGGCAAATAAAGGAATTTAACTAGGGGGGAAAAGACATCAGATTTCATGTCACTTAAGCTTCTCTGGGGAGAATGTTTCAGAGTAAGAGTCTCATGAATGAAAAGGACCTATTATAAATCACCGTCTCTCTTATTGCAGTACACGGGGATGTTTAAATAAGAGTCTAAAAGAAGGTATTATTATCAGCAAGGTTTTCTTAGCCCGACTTGAGGGAATTCAGCATGATAGCTTGCTTAACATGACAACATTCAATCCTTGTGATGAAATGGTGTCTGAGGATCATTGTATTAAGTGGAACTTAGCTTTTGCTTAGCGATAGATGTCATTATATGGTAAGTTAAGACTGAATTTGCTACTACTAAAAATCAAGAAGTATTAATGATTTTTATGTTCTACTATGAGGATGTTATATATAAGTCTCAGAGCTTACGTGATGAGGCTCATCCTCTGAAGACATTGCATTATTTACACATAAGGCTTCTAAAAATTTCTGCTTCAGTATGATGTAACGAAATCTGTAGAAAAAAATAGAAATGCAAGTTAAGTAGGAAGTAACAGAAGTTTCTATGGATTTTAATATAAAAAGCATTTAGATTAATTTTTTGAAATTTTGGAAAAAAGGAAAAAAATGGAACAGTTGTTGCCTTACAATTTTCAGACTACAGCAATGACAAGTTACTTAACTGTTATTTTATTTCTATTTACATAAAGAAAGGTTAACTGTTATTAGTTCAACTGATAGGCAGTCAAAGAAAAATACACTATATCTAAATAGATTGAATAAGTTCTACAATTAATTTTTAAGAAGTATGAACTCTGTGAGTGCAAGGGGATCTCAAAACAAAATAAACCAATTTGTATGGGCATTCTTGCATCTATTTCCTTTCATTATTATTATTATTTTGTACAGCAGTTCCAAATTTTGTTATGCACAATGGAGAGGGGTTTTTTTAGAAAAAAGAAACCTATCAATACTTGCCAGCAGATGGTCTCATGATCCCAGGCAATTAGATTTATAGCACTAAAAATAATTGTTTGTCTAAAAAAAAGCTAATGTCAGAAAGAAAGTGTTCATCTTTTGAAGCAGCTTGCAGGCCATTTTTTCAATTCGATCTGAACCAGCAAAATTTGCCAGGGTTAGTTAACTATTCTTGTATTTGTGATATTACAAATTAATTAATCATATGAACAAGGTTGCAGTTGTGGTATTTTGTAATGACAAGGAAAATTCTCCCAGTGATTATATTCATGCAATCTTTCTGTTTTTCTAAGAGTTTCTTATTTCTTAGTATAATGTATAGTTACTGGTATTGCAAACAATAAAAACTGATTACCTCTTCTTGTCAAATTTATCCATGCACTCTAGTGGCTGGATGAACTGAAGAACCTCATCCCACTGGCCGTCAAGAATCAACTGTCTTTAAAGAAAGGGGAAAAAACGAACTAAAACTTAAGGAACAAACAAATCATTCCTGCAACGATAACAGTCAACTTTCAGGATTCAATACTCTGGAAACAATTATGGTAATAAAACTATATACTCATTTGAGGCCCTACAGACTGGTCCAAGAACAGATGGTAAATATTTTTGCCTCTTTCAATACTTAACAAATTTGTCTAAAATACTTCAGTATCAATGCATATACTAATACAGTTTGGAAATATTTTTTTTCAATTCTGTAGGATAACAAGTACATAGCTCACTAAAATATATTTTTATGTTGGACAAAAACTGTGCAAAGAGGGATATAAACATCTCTTTATATGTAATTACAATATAAATTCTTGGCAAATTGATGGAACAGTCCAAGAGATAAGAATTGCAACAGCTAAAATAATTGAAAAGATAAAACTATGTGAAATTTTCATTGTATAATGTATTAGAATTTCTGACCAGTGCATATCACTGTCTATATAATTTTTTAAAAAATAAATAAAATTAGCCTTATTTTTTTCAAACCTAAAAGAAAGAAAAGTCCAAAAATAACTGCATTTTATAATGCTATAAAGTGCTAGTGGCAGGCAAGAAAATTACTTAAAATATTTTTGCTATTTTTAGACAATTAAATCTCCCCTTTTGTAACATATTATAATTAGTGTAATGATACACTTGCACACATTATGTATCAAAAGAGAAAATTTAATCTAATTATATCTTATTAAAATTGTTTCAAACCAAATTTGAATGATGTTATTTTAACTGCTTGTAGCCTCTTTGCACTGTAGCCCATAATGTAACTCTGGAAAGAATTTGGTCTTGTGGATAGGGGCTTTTATCAAGGTCTTTTATTCCCTTTTATGCGGAGTGTGAAATACTTCGCATTAGGTCTATTCCCAAAGTCATGTGAAGCAGCCTACTGAAGGATGCCAACCTGTTAGCATTATTTGACACATGCCAACTTCCATTGCTTACCTCAGTCATCGGAGGTACTTACAATTATAATTAAAAGATTTGAGATAATGACTGATTGCAAAATAGGTTATATGCTATTATGCAAGCCCTATAGTTCTCCATTGGATTTTTAATACAGAAAGATTTATAGCAACCAAACATATTTTATTTACTCATTCATTTATATCCTGCTTTTATTATTTTTACAAATATATAATGCAATATAATAATACATATGGAAAATGGAAAGTAAAATTACTTTATTTTTTTGCAGAGAGTGAGATAAATTTTATTCTTAAAAATGGGAATAATTTTGGGCAATGGACTAAGAAAATGATATATTTTTTTTTGCTTTCTCCTATTTATCAGCTAAGTGAAGAACACCGACAAACGCCAGCATTCCTTGCCAGTTCTCTGTATTTGTTTCCCAAACTGTGAAGAGGATTGTACGAAATAGTTTAAAGACACTGGAGAGTAGAAACAGGATCATGTGGAAATGCCCTTGGTTTGACAGGGATTAAAGCATCTTGATTTAAAAAACGATTCACTCTATTTTGCAGCATATTTAATAATGTGGTAATAATTTATACCTTAAGAAAAGCATATCATCTGAGAATAGTCCATTAATTACACCACTTTCTTTCTCTAGAGCCAACATACTTATATGAAGCTTTCTTGAGTTCAAAAAATCCAGTATTAGTTTGACTATTTCAGCTTCTTTTACGTTCACTGTCTCTTCAGCTGTCATTGTGTAGGCTGAAAAGCAAAGAAAAATACAAATTAGATCCAACCTAAGTAAATTCCATCTGGCATTACCTTTTATTTAAACAGGCACAAAAAACTTAAATTAAAATTTATGCCCTTCAATATATTCATATCATTTATACAGGTATTCACATTTGATATATTTGCCGAGAGCAATGCTAACATACTAAGGTATGTTTCAATTTACAAGGATTCAGAAGCACAAACAAGATTAAACAGCTTTTAAGAAGTCTACAGAATATCTAGACATGAATAAAACAGAAATTCTACCTGATCTTATAGCTACATATATACAGATTTTAATACACATACAATTCTGAAGTACCGTATATAATTATTAACATGACAGAAGAAGACACATTTATTACAAACGAATACTTTGTACTACATTTGTTCTATTAAATCTGTCTTTTCAGTTTGAGGAAAATGTCACTTATTTAATGTGATTCAACATTTTCTCCTCATTTATATTCCATTGCAAATGAGCTAGTCAGTATATATTATTCAAAATAATATCCGTAGATCAGACTTTGGGCATATGGTATCAGTGGGGGATAAAGTAGAAGAAATAGCCATGGTTGGCAAGGTTGAAGTAACTGGAGTAAGAGGAAGATACTGGATGAAATGAATTGACTAGATGAAAGAGATTAATGGAATATCCTTGAAAGGAATATGAATTATTAACAGAAGCAGGTCCAATAGTATTTCCCCTTGCAATCCCCAGGGACCGTTCCCAACTCTATGGTCCTTAACTGGCTAACCGCTTGGGGCAAGGAAAAAAAAATACAAATTGCTAATAAAAATGCTGTTTTTAAACACTGGAGAAACAGGAAATGTTTTAAACAATGCCAACTATGGAAAGCCTTAACTAAAATCTTTAATTCAATTGATATGTTTTAGAAATGAAAGTTCATACATCTGTTCTTTCTTGGCTGATAAATAAAACAAAATTAAGATGATGTTTTTTTTCTGGAAAACTGCAAAAGTGATATTTGAACACTGTTGAAAAAGTGTTTTAATTGGCTTTCTTCAAACAGTTGCATTTTTCCAGGATCCCATTTTGCAAAATTGTTGTCTGAATATACATGGAAATACAGGTAAATCAAATTTAAAAGTAGCTATACCAAATTTATAAAATATACAACACTTGTAATTCTTTCAAGATAGGTGTTTTATTTATGTTAGTGCAATTTGCACAGCTCCCGTTTTGGTACATTGCACAGCCCTATTTTTTAGTATCTTGCCCACCATATACCATTGTTTATACTGCATTCCTTTGAATGTGTTATATATTAGTTTTGTCGCATTTCAAATCCTACCAAAAATGTGTGACTTTGAATGAAATAAAATACAAAACACTTTCTTTTGCAGTTAATAGATTTGATTTGCATTCACATTTTAAGGCATAGAAGATTAGAATAATTAGAAATGTTCATACTTAGAAATTTGCTTTATACTCTTGTTGGGAAAAGGAAAAGGAAAGGGCAGCTAGCTTAGAGGTGTCACTTAAAGAAAATTGAGAATATATCATTGTGCATGACATAACACAAATAAGATGTTTTCCTCTGTTGAAAATAGCTGCTTGTATTCCCCCCCCCCCCACAATTATTTCTGTTCCCATTTAGTAACTGGGACATTTATGTTGTAGGAAGGCCACCCCTGCCCACATTAAAATATTATTTATTCTTATTATTAAAAGAGGCAGGATAGAATGTTTCCCCTAAAGGAGAAGATGAGAAAAATCTTAAGGAAGGCAGAAAACAGCCCCAGTCTTCCTGCCATAGGAGAACTGATGCAAGCTGAAGTTTGGAGAGGAATGGAGATTTTGTATCCATTCAGAAAGACTGGGCCAATCTATTCCTAAGCAAAGAGACTCCCAATAAGCAACACAATTAGACAAGCCAAAGCTGAAAAGATTAGCTGGGACAAACACCTAGGATACATCCCCCCTTTTGTCTGTAGTGTCAATCATGACCCCTACATATCCCCATAGGAATCTGGCAGCAGCCATTAAAATATTAAAGGACGCATTCTTACACGGGAACAGGCATCTCAATCACAAAGCCCCAAAGAATGTTTAAAAACCTACCTGGACCTACTCTCAACCCCATTTTGTCAGCCACCACAGAAACATGCTGCTGTCACTAGTTTCTGGCTACCAAATAAACAGATACTTCCTTTATTGCAGCTCGCCTCCATTTTATTTCCAGTGTTTCTCTCCTGGCTTGGAACTGGACTGGATTTTTCTTCCAACAATGTGATCCCTGGAAATATTCCTATCTAGAATGGGAATCTCAGAGGAACAAACTGACAGTCCTTTACCACTCAAAACTAAGAGATCTTTAGAGCTTCTTAAGATTTCTTCTATCTCTTCATCCTACTACATCCTTTTACCCACAAGCATTGGTGGATCCTAAATTTAATCTGCTTTTTTGGTAGCTGAATAATAATTATATGGAAATTTTATGTGTTTAAATATTCAAGGAGTTCTTAAAATGAAAATATTACAGATGCGAAATATGACCAATATTAACTGAATTTTAAGGTGAAGAAATGCAATTAACACACCTTATTTTATTAAACATGCATACATGCTTTTGGGCAGAAAGCAGCACAATACACAGAGAATAACCTATACTGTAGTTACACTTAATAACAACTTTAGCAGTAGTGCCAAAAGATACAAAAAGGAAAAAAAAAAGATATGTATACCTTTCGTAAATGGAATGGAAATATGGCAATTTGAATTACCTCATCTATAAAACAATTGTTATTAAAGATGAAGGAACTATGTCTTGTCATGCACCTAGTCTAATTTTAATCAATTCACTGATAACTAGTTAAAGCAGTCTTCATATAAAATGTGTAACTGCCACTATTTCACAAGTCAGTAAATTCATTCCATTTGGGAGTGGGTTCCAGCCACAGGCGTGAAGTACATTTTACATTTCCCCTATTATGAGGCTATATTAGGTATTGTGGTAAAATTCAGAACATCCATAAGGTTAGGAGCTATGGAAGACTGGTTTCTATTACAAACAAGTTTCGGCTTTTTGCTCAATTTAATAATTCACTGCTATGGAATAGAGATTAAAGAATCTTACACAATGGTGGATTAGAATTCAAGATGCAAAAATTCTAGTCACAATGACAAAACTTTTATGGGTCCCAACAATTACCTGACATAGGTAGCATAGGTAGATTACATGACAATATTCTTTCCCACAAATATTTAAAAGCTAGCAAACTCAAATGTTATAAAACTACTATAACAATATTTCCCAAACAACAAAAATATTTGAATATAATTAATACAACAAAATAACATCTTATTCCTTGGCAACCTGTAAGTATCTGGTAATTTAATGATCAAGGTATCACTTCTGCCAGGCAATTGCTCCCAATTACACTTTGAAGAAACACAGGTATTCCATGTGCAAAACGTTCAACACGCATTCTGTACTTATGCACCCATATCATGTAATAAATAAAGGATTTTAATTTATTTAGATAGGCCCCTTAACGTACCTTCAACATGATTTTCCTTTTAGAATTAATAGTAGATGTTATAGTTTTTTAACTGTTATGTTTACTTAAAATTGACCTAAATGTCAGGTTTCACATTTTGATGGAATAATTAAATATTTACTGTACATAATTAAATGTTTACTATGGAAGCAGGAAGTTTCTATTCAAGTACTAAACATTATTTGGAACTGTGATTTTTTTAATAGTCCTTTTTCTTCTATCCTTTTCATCTATTTGTAATAGTTATCTTATCTGCTAGAGCACTCTATTGTTGGGTGGATTAAATATACAAACATAACTGAGCCAATATTTGTCTTTTACTCTTTTTATATAATCAGGATTAAATAAGAATAAAGAACCATCTAAGTATTATGACTTGATCTAAATCTTTGAAACAGCTTTCTGACAAAGATCACTTACTAGATTAGTAGCTTTTAAATTTGATGTGCATAAAATGTAAATTTGGCCGCAGATTACATACATTTGGTACTCAATATATAATAAACTTAAATGTGGATCATGTTATCATGTTTGGTATACTGGACATTGCCCTCTTTATCACGGAATGCTATTGTCTTCATTTTTAATTACTGTATATACCGCAATTTTAGGAAGATTCCATTTGCTCAGAAAGTATTTGAGCATATACTTAGATCTTTAATTGAAATTAAAGGGAAATATTTTGGTTTAGTTTATAGGCACCTTAATAAAATTACCAAAGGAAGACGGATATATTGAAGACACTGTAGAAATAGTTATAAATTACTAAAGGAAATTTTTTTGCTGTCCTAACTGGTAGCACTCAAACTAGCTGGACTAAGAAGAAAAGTCCTACACAATCTTAAGTGTGCCTCCCATACTAATTGACAAACAGGGGTGCAACATAAAACTGTTGCATTCCTTATAAATAAATTATTTGTTCTTCACTATGGATATCCCCTAATATAAGGCAATATTAGGGTAGATCTTTTTAACAATTTAGGCATATGGAACAGGTATAGACAGGACAACAGGGAAAGCTTATAAAAATACAGCAACCCCAAAATAAACGTTTCAGGCGTTTGGATTATCCAAGAAGGGTTATAGAAACTTTCACACTGCCACTGTTTCCATTCCACAAACCTTCTGTCAGAAGACAAATTATGATTATATTCATTTTTGCTAAAGTGAACATTTGGGAACAAGGAATAACAAGTTACGGCGCCCCCCAACCCCTCGGTTAGACAGGTTATGCTACAATAAAACTCCTTCATCCCGGATACACAGAACAACAAGAAAGGGGAAAGAAGGCTGGGACGACAGCTTCAGAAGAGAAAATAGACCACAAGCTTTACTTCTACTCTTTTGTCTGGACTACAGAGGAGGAGCTATAAAGTCCTCAGATTATCACTGCGCTTACAGGAACTGAAGCTCAGGAACCTGAAGGAAGGCTGAGGAGAGTTTTGCTTCTAATGTGAAAAAGG